TCTCGCAGAGATATTATCTCTCAGAGCCATGTTCAAGCTGCCAAAAGGGTGCTACTAGCAGACTGTCTTGGCGAACTCTCGCTCGAGCTTGTGGAGCAGAGCGATGGGGGGAGCAGCATACAGACGTGACCTTGGTCACATGTGTGGACTCCACCCCAGGAGTCTCCCAAGATACAGATTTATCTTGCTCAGTGTTGATAGGATTGACACTACACCTGTTGGGGATAGAAATATCCTCGTAGTAGTAGAATCCTATAACCCCTAGAAAAGTTGTGCACTGCACCGGGGAAAGCAAACTTTTCTGAGATTCAACCTGAGCCCCAAGCTCTTCATGTGGGCGAGAACAACATCTCGATGTTGAACTGCCAGCTCCCTGGATCGTGCTAGAATTAAACAGTCGTCCAGGTAGTTTGGTACACAGATGCCCTGCAGTCCTAATGGAGCAAGATTGACATCCATGCACTTTGTGAAGGTGCGAGGGGATAAAGCTAGCGATATTCCTATGTGGAAACATGCACCTTTTAGATCTATCACCAGAAACCATTTCTCGAACTTGATCTGTGGCACGATAAGTTTGAGCATCAGCCTCTGAACCTGTATGTCCGAAGAGTATGGTTCAGATGATGCAGATCTAAAATTGGCCGCACACTCCCACTTTTAATAAAGGCTGTAAACCTCCCTCCCTGAGGGAATGGGGTACATGTTCTAAGACCCCATTGTCCAAAAGGGAGCTTACTGCCATTGCTAACGTCAGGCTCTGGTCTGTGATGACTGCTGTGATGAGCACACCTGTGAACGGGGTCGGGGGGAGTCGAGCTATAACTGGACCCAGTAACCCTTTCTATGGTAGACAGAACCCATGGAGACACATTTGGCAGTAGCTTGCACGCTGCCCGATGGTCTTTTAGTGATGTTAGCTATTCCACATTCTATTGGAGGGAAGCATCACAGCTCGCTGACCAGGGAACACGAAAACTTGGGGACCGCCTTGGCTAGGGGAGGCCCTACAGTAGCACTGGGTGTTACCTGCCCGAACAACCTCATGTACCCAGATACATCCCTCCACGGCCCCTCAGGGCCGCTCTTCTTTGCCTGCTTGGCCTTTATGACCATTCTCAGATCAGGCCTAACAGCAGACCATGACTGTGGCCACCCGATTCCCCTGGCTGTCTGCGGGGGTTGGCGGGCTGCCATACTCACCTTCTGGGACTCCCTCACACTATTGCTGGCCCAGGCTCTACTCGTGGATGCCCGGGTGAGCTCGAGACAACATTTTTGCCACCTTGGATGCAAGCCGGCCCCAGTAATTACCCACCGTTGGTGGAGAGAGGTACCTAGCAAGAGCCTGCTCCACCTTGGGCATAGATAAATAGCCATGCCTTTCATTCCAACAATGGCCGAATAATCCAACAATAAATTTAAGCATGGTTTTCCCCCAGAAGCCTGAGATTTTGTCATAACTTCTGGAAGACAGGGAAGTTTCTGCAGTGTGAGGGATTTACTTTCACTGGGTAATCACTTCAAGCAGCTCTTTATATGCAGTTTTTAACACATCCTTCTAACTCCTCGGAGTCAGAAAGGAATTATTACGCTTTTGGCTTTCCATAGCCACAGGAGGAGTCGCAATGCAACCTCCAAAATGTTCAGATTTAAGAGATCCCCCGAACCTGAGACGGTTGGCTGCCGGCCCAGATCCGCGAGGCTCTGAAACCTGACTCGCTTCGGCTTCCATTTTATTTTCAAGAAGAGCGCGAGTCGTGAGTCGAGCTGCTTAATGTAGCGTTACCATGCGCAGCCTCTCGAGGCCGCCAGCGCATACTACACTGCTAACACTTCACCCAGAAATTGTGCCCTTTCCCCTGTGCTGAAACGTGAGCACGTTACACACTTCTTGAACTCTTTCTCGCTCATTACTTGCCTCTCTTTTCCTTTAAAAAAAGGATAGAAAGTTCAGAGATTTTGAGAAAATATCAAGTAGAAATGAAGCGTTTTTGTCTCACAAACCCAGACATGCGGTCTCACTGAAGATAATATGGCTGGCGGCGTGGTTCACAGGTGCCATATATATACCATGTGACGTGCTTAATTGCCATGTCACCTGATCATGGCAGGCCTATAAGTATAGGCATGATTTTACACAAGCTTCAGATACTGGTCATGCGCACAAGGCGTTCCCTTGCTGTTATGCTAAAAAGGGAAGGGAAAGGGAACAGAGCAAGGTCAAACATAATGGTCTTGGAAATCACCTGAAACATGTTTTTAAAGGTTTTCAGAAAGTACAGAAAGGAGAGAATAATGGTAATAGAAACACCCATTGTTTGTGTTATTGGTTTGGAAATCACCCGAAACTCAGACATATTGGTATTTGGCAAAACAAGGGGTGTATACTCAGAGTGAAAAAGGGAGCCCGATTTCTGGGGATTTTTCAGATCACTCTGGGACATCTCAGCTGTGTGGATCTCGTGTGGTGAAGCAATAAACTTGGACCCTTGCTTTTTCTCACTCACTGGTTCTCTGTGTTTTTTCTCCATCTTCAATATGATGTAAGTACCTTACTTTGAAAAATCTTTAATGGGTTAATAAGTAAAAATAGGCACAATAGAAGTCTGTAGTAGTAGTAGTACAATAAAAGGGTAATAAAGGGTAGTACAATGCTTGTGGAACCCACCCAATCCAAATGTGGCCCTAAACACATCATGGTAAGTCATTACACCTTTATGGTAGGACAGTTGGATGCCTGTGAAATTTTACGCTCTGCGAGACAGCTCCAGCGGATTAAAGTGAGGGATCTGACCATCTCAGTTTTTCCTGTCTACACAGTCAAGATAGCCCGGGCCCCATTTAATGAGGTTCGACGTCAACTTCGTGATATTGAGGGCACTCGCTATAGAATACATCACCAGCTCGGCTTCACATTACATATAACGGTGTCCAGAAGGACTTTATTTCAGCAGAGGAAGCAGGAGACTATGTTAAACTCTTAATACCGGGATGAACTGCATCACCTACATAGTGTAGTTCTTGTATTTATTTATTTATTTATTATTTTATTCTATTTTATTCTATTTTATTCTTTTTCTGCACTCGGCCTTCCAGCTCTACAGAATTTGAATTCTTATTGAAGATATTGTCGGTGCATTACTTTGTCTACAATTTGTGGACTCACTCCTTTTAAATCTACTTATTAGTTATTTTCTTTATTATTCTTCTTCTTTTTTATGTGCTACACTGTCTAATATTATTAGATATAAGTCTTTAAAAGGTAAGGAGATTATATTTGTTAAAGTGCGCAGACTATTTTTTTAGATTTGAAGTCAGTAGGGGACTTTTCTCTTACTGGAATTGTCTTTAATTTGGGATTTAATTTTTTTTTCTTTTTATTTTATTTATTTTTTTTCTTCTTCTCAATGAAATACTTGGGAAAGGGAAAGGAGGGGAGAAAATCACATGAAAATGATTCACAAGTAAATGAATCACATGAAAATGAATCACATGCATGAATATTAATCACATGAAAATGAATCATGAAAATTAATCACATGTAAGTTAATCATATGAAAATGAATAAATAAATACCTGTGAAAGTTATTAATCCCATGAACAAAGTGTTGATACTAAGAGGAAATGCAAAGATCGTGGACATTTCTCCATGCATCACCGTGGAAGATTTTCCAGAGAGTGACCATATTAAGTCCCAAGTTCAACACTTTTGACACAAGGACAGTTTTCAAGAATCTGAGGATGAGACAGTGCGATTCTTGAACAACTTGGGATTGAGAGACCGGTATCTGACAGCATCCAAAGTGTCATTAGCATGAAAAATTTAATTACTCCATCTTGTTGAGAAGTATAAGTCCATATTTTAAAGGAAGAAGATGGACTGTGTTGAAGCCAAAGTTTTGTACATCAGATCTGCCAAGTGGGCGAAAAACCCTTTCATCTCTCCTAACACCATGTGCCTCCAAGCCATTAAGAGATGCTGAGAGTACCACTGGATGAGATGGAAGAGAAGGGTATTATCACAAAATAAAATAGTGAGTATGCTTCTCCTATTGTCCTGGTGTGGAAAAAGAACTGATCTGAGGATCTGTGCCGATTTTCGATGGTTGAACCCCAGAACGATGAAAGCTCATCCTCTGCCACACCAGACAGATGCTTTAACTGCTCTTGTGGGAATGCTTTCTTCTCGACTATGGACCTTACCTCAGGCTTCTATAATGTTCCGTTACACAATGATGATAGGAAATATACTGTTTTCTCATCGCCATTTGGACTTCATGAATATAACAGGATGGTGCAGGGCCTTTGCAATAGCCAAGCTACATTCATGCATGTGACAATGTTAATCTTTGGTGACAAAACATTCACAAGTTCACTTTGCTATCTTGATGATCTCATGCTCTTGAAAGGCTGGAGATGGTGTTCTCAAGGCCCACAATCTCAAGCTTGCCTTTATGAAATGCCATTTCGTGAGAAAATCATTCAAGTTTCTTGACCATGTCATTTGTGGAGATGGTGTTAAAACAGACCCAGGGAAAATAAAGGCCATTACGGATAATGGAGCAGTGGACTTGATGGACTCTAATGGAATCACTCCATGTCACAAGAAAATCAGATCGTTCTTAGGTATTGTATTATACAAAGACAGACAAAAAGGGCTCCAGAGGCAGGAGGAGGAAGCTCTCACCAGCAGACTGGATTGACGAATTCCAGAAAGCATTTACAAACTTTAGAAGGAGGACCTTCTCACAAGCGTAATGCTAGGACACCCAGACATTGAACGCAACTTCATAATACTTGTAGATGCCTCATTTGATGGATTGGGGGCTGTTCTTTTCCACATCCCAGAGGGTGGCACTATGGCCTGGCCAGTGCCATTTGCTAGCAAGACACTGTCACATTCTCAGATGAATTGCCCAGCTCACAGGTTAGAATTCTATACTATTTCTATACTAATTCTATACTATATTATTCTATACTCCTCATAGTTAAGTGGGGGGTGCATGGTGGCTTAGTGGTTAGCATGGTCGCCTCACACCCCCAGGGTCGGGGTTTGATTCCCACCTGTGTGTCCAAAGACATGCATGGTAGTCTTGTCCAAAGTGTGTGAATGTGTATGTGATGCGATCCGATCCTGCGATGGATTGGCACCCTGTCCAGGTGTACCCCGCTTTGTGCCCGATGGTCTCTGGGATAGCCAGAGAGCATAGGCTCCAGGTTCCCTGTGACCCTGAAAAGGATAAGCGGAAGAACATGGATGGATGGATACTTAAGTGAGCGACATGTGACATACTCACCGAGCCAAGACTCGATGCTTGAAAGCAATGCTGTGCTGCTAAGCTAGCCTCTTTCAGCTTTGTGTAACCCAGTCAAGGTTATAAAATTATAGAATTATTCTGGGTTTTATTATTCAGGGCAATTATTATGATTACTTCATTATTATTCTTTCTTATTGTATTTTGGTTTATTTGTATTTTTTCATTATTATGGTCTTGATGCTGTTGATTTGAGTTTTGAGCCATTAGGAAGGAAAAGGGGAAGTGAAGTTCTGCCTCCATGTAATATTTCTTTCGGCAGAAGCGTGTTTTTTCTTTTTCAACTGAGCCACGTAGCTGTCGCAACATAGCAGAACTGTTTGTTATATCTTTTATATATCAAACTGGAACTTTGCATCAAAGCTTCCCAGCTCCTGGAACCCCTCTTCCTTGAAACACTTGATCGAGATTTCCCTAATCAGGGAATGGGGAGCCACCCAAACAGTTGCATACAGAAGATTTGATCACCTCACTCAGGATGCCCGCCTATGCGGCAGGACTGATGCAACTTGTCGGTAGAATTTGAAACAGAATGAAACAGAATTTTTTTTACAAGAAAACCAGAAAACTGTTATTTCATTAAATTCAGTTCCATTTTATTGTGACTCTGTATTTTCCTTTTAATCAATAGTTCATAAGTAAAGCTGGTAACTAAACTGTACTTATCTTGTCCACTGGTCTCAATCTATCCCCAAGAAAACACACACAACTCTTTACCACCCAATGGGAAATGGTCACAGAATGCTTCACCAGAACATTAGGGAACATGATAAGAGTCTTACCACCAAAGTTGAAAGTCAAGTGGGTGCAGTCTTTCCAGATGCTGACATTCTGTTATAACTGCACCATTCATGAGACGACAGGCTTTGTGCCTTTCTATCTGATGTTCTGGAGAGTTCCACACCTTCCAATCGATGTCATATTACAACATGTCCTCAGGGATGATCCTGTGAAGTATTCAGATTTCATATCCAGGCTTAAAGGTGACATTAGCTAAGAGGCAAAAAGTGCACAGAAGCACAGTTCACTTGAGCAAGCCCAGCATGCAAGGATCTACCATCAAAAAGTGAAAGGATCACCTTTGACTGTTGGTGACAGAGTCCTTCTGGAGAATCGTGGTGAGCGTGGCAAACAGAAAATTGCAGATAAGTGGGAGTCCAACCTATATAAAGTGATGTGAGTGAGGTCACCCATTAATGTCTATCGGATAAGAGACACAGAAACAGGCAGAGAAAAGACTATGCACAGGAATCTCTTACTCTCTGTCAACTTTCTGTACAAAGATGATGGAGTCGAATTACCATCTAAGTTGCATTTGAGTGTTTTGCCTGATCATCCTAAAAGTGATGCAAGTACAGCTCACTGGGTTATGCAGTCTGATCACCACAACTGCCCTGCTAAGGACAGTGACTCAATTTATTTGTCTGGAGATAAATATTCTTTGGGAGCGCACGGTGGCTTAGTGGTTAGCACGTTCGCCTCACACCAGGGTCCGGGATCCGGGGTTCGATTCCCGCCGGGGCCATGTGTGTGCGGAGTTTGCATGTTCTCCCCGTGCTGCGGGGGTTTCCTCCGGGTACTCCGGTTTCCTCCCCCAGTCCAAAGACATGCATGGTAGGTTGATTGGCAGCTTGGTAAATTGTCCGTAGTGTATGAATGGGTGTGTGAGTGTGTATACGATGGACCGGCACCCTGTCCAGGGTGTACTCTGCATTGTGCCCGATGCTTCCTGGGATAGGCTCCAGGTTCCCCGCGACCCTGAAGCAGGAATAAGCGGTTGAAGATGGATGGAAGTATTCTTTGGATGTGCAGAATTCCAATCCGAAGGCAGACTTTGATACCTGCAACAGCTCTGTATGTACTGAATAGGGGTGTGACGTTGTGCATTTCTTGGCTGAAGGACTACCTCCTGACAATGAATTGGATCAGAGCTCCTCACAGCACTCCTTTACTATGCCAGTTTTTCCACCTTCACATAACCCTGTTTCAGATACAGTTGACTAAGTTAATTTGCAATCATCCAGAACAGTTTCAAACAGACACAGTGTTGCTGGAACTGGAGGATGTGGAGAGGAGGATCCGCGGCCTACTTGACCAGCAGGCCCAGCTGCAGGAGCAATGAACTGCGCTGGAATCATGTGCTTCTGTCCACACACCCAAGGTAAACACACAGTGTGGTATCTACACTCCCAGCCCCTCTATGCCGTGTGTTCCTCGGTACAGGGATCGTGCAGCCAGGACTTTCCCAGCCGCGGTCTCCGTCACACCGGCGCCAACACACCTCGGGCCTTGGGTGAACCAGCGGCGAAAGGCTGCACCCCGGGCGAAGGTCTCTCCACCACCGGTGTTCCAGATTCCAACCCGGAACCGCTTCGCCCCTCTCTGTCAGACCAGACCCAACGCGTGATCGTCGAGACTCCATCGTGCGGAACGTCCGTGTAGCTTCATCCAAAGGTAAGGTGCACACACACTGTTTTTCTGGTGCTCGTGTTCTTGATGTCGCTGTGCAGGTATCCAGGATCCTGAAGAAGGACGAGCGCATTGGAGCGGTTGTGCTGCACGCCGGGACAAACGACACCAGGCTACGGCAGACGGAGGTTCTGAAGAGGGACTCCTCCAGCCTGATCGAGACGGTGCGAGGCAGATCACCCACAGCAAGGATCATCGTCTCTGGACCTCTTCCCACATTCAGACGTGGAGCAGAAAAGTTCAGTAGACTTCTCGCTTTAAATGAATGGTTAGTCTCTTGGTGTAATGAGCAGAATCTAGTGTTTGTTAATAACTGGAATCTGTTTTGGGAGCGCCCTAGGTTCTTTCGTCCTGATGGCCTGCACCCCAGCAGCGTTGGAGCGGAACTGCTGTCCGAGAACATCTCCAAGGCGCTTCACTCCAAGTGACTGTCTACCGTAAGTACATCTTCTGACAATAACAGTCAGTATAATCAATGTTCAATTAGTAGTCCATCAACAGTAATAAATAGTATAGAGACTGTGTCTGTTCCCCGAGCTATACAAATATATAGGAAATCTCATAACCTTCGTAACCTAATTAACATAAAATTAAATCATATTGAATGCACAGCCAGCATTTTTGATCTGAGGCTAGGTCTATTAAACGTTAGATCTCTTATGTCTAAGGCTCTTATTATCAACGACATCATTACTGACCAGGAATGTAATTTAATGTGTTTAACGGAAACTTGGGTTAAACCAAATGAGTACATAGCATTAAATGAAGCCAGTCCTCCTGGATACAGTTATGCACATCAGCCTCGTTCAACTGGTAGAGGAGGAGGTGTTGGTCTTATCCATAGTGAAAATCTAGTTGTCACACAAAAATATAGTCATAAGTTTAATTCTTTTGAAATTCTTTATACCAGTGTAAATTACGTAGCCAAAAAAAATAAGTAAATTCCTCTAATTATTATTTACAGACCCCCAGGGCCATATACTGAATTTCTTAGTGAATTTGCAGACTTTGTATCAAACCTGTTTGTGTCTGTAAATAAGGCATTAATTGTCAGAGATTTTAATATTCATTTTGATAACCTGGAGGACCCTCTGAGAATAGCGGTCGTGTCCATCTTAGATTCAGTAGGCATTAATCAGAACGTAATTGGGCCTACTCATAGTGGTGGTCACACTCTTGACCTCATACTAACATACGGACTAAGTATAGAAAATATTGAAATTTTTCCGCAGTCTGAAGTTATCTCAGACCACTATCTTATCTCATTCAAAATCCATATTGATTATAATATCTCCACCTCGCCTCGCTACCGCGTAAAGCGCACATTCACATCAGCTACTGCACCGAGCTTCATAAATAGCCTACCAGAGACATCAATTAGACTTGGATCAGCGCCTGATCCCGTAGAACTCGATCAGGCAACTGAAAGTTTGGAGTCAACACTTCGCTGCACACTAGATAGAGTGGCTCCAGTCAAAAGAAAAATAATTAGAGAAAAAAAAATAGCACCCTGGTATAATGATCTAACGCGATCATTAAAACAGAAATCTAGACACTTAGAACGTAAATGGTGCCAAACCAAGCTGGAGATATTTCAGACAGCATGGAAGGAGAGCCTACTGCAATATACGAAATCTCTTGCAGATGCTAAAAAGATCTACTTCTCCTCCTTAATAGAAGACAACCAAAACAATTCCAGATTACTCTTCAACACGGTAGCAAAACTAACTAGGAATAAAACCACTTCAGAGGAAAACACTCAATCATTTCATAGCAGTGACAATTTCATGAAATTTTTCATTTATAAAATTAAAATATTAGAGATGAAATACAGGCCATTAAATTACAACCGGTCAGTAATATAACAAACACATTAGATGACAATGTGGCAATACCGGATCAATGTTTAGAGTGTTTTGCTCCGCTTATAGAGATCGACCTAGCTACACTAATCTCATAAGCCAATTCATCAACCTGCATACTAGATCCCATACCTACATGTTTGTTTAAACAGATTTGTCCAGGAGTAATTAAGTCACTTTTAAATATAGTAAATTCTTCCCTATCCACTGGCTATGTACCTAAATCTCTTAAATTAGCAGTTATTAAACCATTTATAAAAAAACCTGACCTTGACCCGTCTCAATTGTCCAGCTATAGACCAATATCGAATCTCCCCTTCATCTCTAAGATTTTAGAAAAGGTAGTAGCAAAGCAGTTATGCTGATACTTGGAAAGGAACAACATTCATGAAATGTATCATTCAGGATTTAGACCTCATCACAGCA